CGCGGGAGCTTCTCCTTGCCAGTTTCTCCCAGCAGGACCCTCTTCTTGTTTTGAAAGATAGTCGGCTGCTTTTGGTAGGCACGCTCGGTCTACAGGTATGAGAAAACGGATGAGCTTGTAAGTTTGGAGCGGGCAGCAACATGGCCTAGAGACCTTCCCAGAACCTCCCAGACCTCACGCTCTGCAGCACAGCGCCGGCCTCCAAGGCCCGGTGCCCCAGAATCACCCTCTAAGACACGACCACCCCTACCCTACCTGTAATTCATACTCAGATCTAAGCCCGGAGTTATTTCAATTTATTTGCTCCAGAAGGCCTTCCGGGGTGTGCAGAATTCATCCTCTAAACCAGGATCACCCCCTCACACCCTGGACACCTTTCATCGAGGATCATTCTCCAACACCCAAGGTGGCCCACCCAGGATTCACTCCTTATGTAGTACATAAATAAATATCAAAACGGCAGGCTCCCTGGACTCGCCCTTAGCAGTCCGTTCTCACAGAATTAACTCTGAAAACCAGAGAACTAAATAAAAAACCTCCTTCAAGTTGGATTTTAATAAGGTAACTAGAAAACGCTTGAGCCTCCATTAAGGCGCGGAGCCCCCAGGATTTAGGAGGGAAGCATTCATGGAAATACACGCAAAAGCACGCGCCCTCCACCCCAGTTAATCCCTAGGAAACAATCACGGAAGCCCAGAATAAACTCCTGAACTTGGATGCCGGGACCTGCCCTCCCGGACGCGCCCCTGAAGGCCGGGGCGGACCCCGCAGCCGGGATTCAGCCCAGAGCCCGCACCTGAATGTCCGCCATCTTCCCGACAGCCTGCAAAAAGGAAAGTGGCCGTGCCGTCCGGGTTTCCTTATCGACTGCGCAGGGGCTGGAGAGGAAGTGACGTAAAGCAACGTGCACGGCCTTGGGCGGGACCTCGAGCGCGACTTTGATTGACAGGCTGCACTTAAACCAGCCCGCGATTCCGGGATCGAGAAGGACTGACGGGCGGAGAGTGGTGGACACTGTCTCGCGAAGTGTTAGGCCATTACGGCACCGGGCGCGATTATTCAGGCAGGGATGGCGTGACCAGCCTTCTGTCCGCCCGTGTTATCGCGAGAGTCGTACGAAGTCCGTCATGTTTCTGCGCGGCGTAGGCTCCCGTAGGATTTGGATACCGCGTGGCTGTGTTCGTTGGGCCTTCAAACCGGATGAGGCAGCGGCCATCTTTCTGAAGGGCGGACGGCCGAAGGGTGCTAGGAGCATGTGTGGCGGTGTCGCCATCTTTGTCAGGGGCAGGAGCCGCCCACAAGCTTTCGGGAGTGTCATGAAAGTTACCCGCCTGGTGCGGTGGCTACGCCTGTAATCCCAACACTTTGGGAGCCCGAGGCGCGGAGGATTACTTGAGCCAGGGAGGTTGAGGCTGTAGTGAGATGTGATCACACCACTGCACTAGAGTTTGGGCAAGAGTCTCAAAAATAAGTAAAAATAAAACAGCACCAAGACTTTTGAGGTAACACACACAGAGAAAACGTCTGTCTATAACAGCGCTGTCCAACAGAACTTTTTTTTTTTTTGAGACGGAGTCTCGTTCTGTCGCCGGGTCCTGAGTGCAGTGGCACGTTCAAGTGATTCTCCTGCCTCAGCCTCCCGAGTAGCTGGGATTACAGGCGCGCACCACCACGCCCTGCTTAAGTTTGTAGTTCTAGTAGAGACGGGATCTGTGTTGCCCAGATTGGTCTTGAATTCCTGGGCTCAAGGGATTTTCCCGCCTCAGCCTCATAGCTGGGACTACAGGCAGATGCCACTATACCTGGCTAATTATTAAAAAAAAAAAAAAAAAAATTGGGCCGGGCCGGTAGCTCACGCCTGTAATCCAAGCACTTTGGAGGTCTAGGCGGGTGGATCACCCAAGGTTGGGAGTTCAAGACCAGCCTGACCAACATGGTGAAACCCCGTCTTAAAAAAAAAAAAAAATTGGCAGGACACAGCAGCTCTTGCCTGTAATCCCAGCCCTTCGGGGAATCCCAGCCTTGTCTCAAAAAAAAAAAAAAAAAAAAAAAAAAAAAAAAAAAAAAAATTCTTGTTAATTTGGAGTCTCCCTGTGTTGCCCGGTCTGGACTCGAATGATTGGGGTTACAGGCGTGAGCTACCACACCCTGTAGAGTTTTTAATTGTTTGAGATCCCAGGCTGGAATACGGGATCTCAGCTCACTGCAACCTCCGCCTCCTGCATTCAAGCAATTCTCCTGCCTCAGCCTCCTGAGTAGCTGGGATTACAAGTGCCCACCACTACGCCCAGCTAATTTTTGCATTTTTAGTAGAGACAGGGTTTCACCATGTTCGGCAGGGTGGTCTTGAACTCCTGACCTCAGGCGATCCACCCACCTTCCAAAGTGCTGGAATTGCAGGCGTAGCCCACCGCGCCCAGCCGAGTTCTTTATAGCAGGATACAAGACCTCGTTAAGAGATGACTTGTAAATATTTTGTCGCAGTGTGTGGCTTGTCATTCCTAAGTGTCTTCTGAAAGTCACTTTCCCATTGGCTAGTGGACCATACTTTTGGAGGGTAATGGTAGTTTCACATGGAGTTTGTGAAATTTAAGATACGCTTTAAAATGGGTTATTTCTCGAGTAGGCTTCTCTGTGGAACGGGAACCTATGTGGGGACTCTGGCAGGGGTAGGCAACATCTACGTTCACTGATTTTCAGGGAAAACAGAAGCCACTGTGGTCTCTCGACTTTCCCGTAAAGGTTAATCCCACGACAGACGTTACCTGCTGCGTCGACACAACATATACTGTCCACTTGTCTCTCTGGGGTAAGGTTGGGCACGTAAGTACACAACTACCAAATTACTCCTGAATCCTGGCATCTAATCCCGAGGACGGCATGAATCTAGCTTCCATTACTTACCCACGTTTACCTTGTCTGGTGTTTAGGCCCTGGGCATGACATGTATGACCCCCAGACGTCATCAGCAAAATGGTAACAGGGCCCTTCCCACCCAAGCAAACTTTGACCTGGAACGTTTTATGCAATTACCTAGTACATGCTCCAAATCTATGCCCTTTCAGGGATTCAGACTAACAGACCTAATGTAAGGCCTAGCATTGTCTTGTTAACCCAGTGCTTATCACTATACAGCAGCCTGACAGTGGGGGCATGGGTCCATACTTTGCAGCTGAATTAGAATGAGGGAGTCTTACATTAACTGGGAAGCACCAGGCACTGCCTGCCACCATTGTTTTAAAATGTCTGGTTTGTAAATGCTGCCTATAAAGGATAATTGAGTTTAGGGCAAGTTACAAATAATTTTTTGTTTTTTAAGCTCCTCACCCCCTTTTTGCCACCTGCCTCCACAGCAGACACAGTGCAAAGACGCAGGATTTCTTTCAAAGTAATTTATTTGACTCTGATCACAAAACACAGGTGAGGAGCACGGGCATTGTCTGTAACCTCCGGCTGCCCATCTTCCCAGTCTATGCTTCTATAAATACCCTTTGCACCATCAGCAAGCTCATGCTGTTCCCAAGCACGCGCACATTCTTTCTTTTTAGAGACAGGGTTTCACCATGTTGGCCAGGTTGGTCTTGATCTCCTGACCTCCTGATCCACCTGCCTCGGGCTCCCGCATGCGCACATTCTAACAGCTGCAGAGTATAGTGCGTTGACACCCCACTCACAACTAAGGCTCCTCTAATTAGTCTTCCAGATCCTTCTGCTAATAGTAACTGGTTGCTGTTCCTATTGCTCAGAGATAAGACACCTGCACAATTCTGGGTGCTTTCAAGCAACCTCGGCAGGCAGTGACTAGACCCTTTCCTTGCTCCGAGCTTCCTATGTCCCAGGCTGCCTGTGGTACCAGGACTGCTGCTGCCCCCGGGTCCCGCATATTCCAAGGCGACGATGGAGGAAGGCAGGCCAGGCCAAGCGTGAGGAATTAAGTCTTTATTGGGCTCAGACCAGGAGTCCATGGGTCTTGAGGACCTCTGTGTATTTGTTAATTTTCTTCTCCACATTCTTCTCGGCTTGTTTCCGTAGCCTCTGCCAAGAATATGCACAGGTGGTGTTGGTCAGGAGGGGCTGCATCGCCCTCATTACATGGACTCCATCCCACCCCAACTCTGGCTGCTCCTTTGCCAGTTAAGAGTCTTCTGTGGGCAAGACAGCATCTGCCAGGCCCACACGAGAGTGAGATACCCTCTCAGTGCCAACCCTTGCCCTCACCATGAGCTGTTTCTTCTTCCGGTAGTGGATCTTGGCTTTCTCCTTCCTCTTCTCCTCCAGGGTGGCTGTCACTGCCTGGTACTTCCAGCCAACCTCGTGAGCCAGGCGCCCGAGATAGGCAAACTAGGGGGTGAAGAAAAAGTTGTAAGAGCATATGAGACAGCTGGGAATATTGTCATGCAACTGTTCTTAAGAGGCCCCAGTTAAAAAAGCACCACCCACCCCTCCTGGCATCAGCTAAGCCATTGGCATTGTCGGCACTCCCGCAGGGACATCCGCAGACCATCGTGAGATAAGGACATCATCTGCCAGGCTTGGGGGGGCCCCAAGCCCCTCAGCAGGCCCAAAATCCCCACAGTAGGCAGCATAGTGGAAGCTGGGACTCACCTTCCTTGTGGGCTTCAGACGTACAACCTTGAGGGCCGCAGGAACCACCATCCGCTTTTTCTGTTAGAGAAATAAAGGGGCTTAAGAGCTCTGGAGGGACCGACAGGGAAGGAGCCCAGCTAGGCGGGCATCTCAGCCAGTGTTGCTTTCATGAGGATCAAACAATGTAGGTAGTTGTGAACATCACAGACGCCGCGGGCAGGGCTGCTGTCTGGCAGGCTTGGCACAGCTCACCTTGTCGTAGGGCGGTGGGATGCCATCAAAAACCTTTAGGCGGTCCAAGGCGGCCTGGCCTCGCTTGGTCTTGTGGGGCAGCATGCCTGTGGGGTGGAGAGCAGGCCCGCTCAGAGGGGCTCCTAAGGACACCCACCCTCCCCACTGAGGCAGGTCCATGGGTGGCCTCAGATGGTAGTGCATGTGGAGTCATCTCATGGTCGGGAAACTCGAACATAGTGGGAGAAGTCCTCATCACCGGCCGCCTGCCCGTCCCCACCTGCAGTCCCCATAGCCCGCTCACCTCGCACGGTCCGCCAGAAGATGCGGCTGGGGGCCCGGAAGTGGTAGGGGCCTCGGGAAGGGTTGGTGTTCATCCGCTTGCGGAGGAAAGCCAGGTACTTCACTAGCGAGACAGCAGAGTGTGAGGCCTGCCCGGTCTGCCAGCACCCCTAAACTCCCACTTCCAAGGACCTTGTCAGGGACCCCAAGTAGCCTCTCCCACCACTGCTGGAATTGCCTTCAAAGCCTCGACAGCCCACAGGGAGACCCCCCCCAAGCTCCTCCCAGGCCATCACTTACACTTGTTTCTGTAGAAATTGCCAGAAATGTTGATGCCCTCGCAGCGAACGACCACCACCTTCCGGCCTAGAGGGAGGGAGAGGATTACGAAGAGCTGAGGGCTCTACCACAGCCTGCACAGGCATCCCCCAGACACAATGCAGTACTTGCCAGAGCCAAGTTCATGTTTAAATGAAAAGCTAGCCTAATGCACAATCACTTCTGAGCCTCGAGTCCCTGGCCCTGGGGAAGAGTTGCTGGCAGGTCTCAGAGCGGTGCATGGGGTTGATCTCATGGCCGTGAGACTCAAACGAAAGATGGTGAATGTTGCTCATCACGGACCGCCAGCGGGGGCTCCACAGGGGGACTCTGGGGGGCGACTTACCCAGCAGTACCTGCTTAGCCACGATGGCTGCCAGGCGGCCCAGGAGATGGCCTCGACCATCAAGCACCAGGACCTGTGGGAGACAAGGACAGTCTTTTTTTGTCCTCAAGCAACCTTGAACCCAGCCATCACAGCTGGGAACTATGCACCGAGGCCCACTCTACAGATGAGGACAGGGGCTGAGAACACAAGGCTGCTTCAGGAGTGAGTGAGCAGTGCAAATGCCCAAACCCCTCTCCTATCTCAGGTCTTCTATGTTTTTTTAATGCTCAGACTGTATTTTGCAAAGCAAGAGGATGAGCAAGGACTTCAATGTAGACCAGCAAGGCTCTGCCCACTGATTATCCAGTTACAAGACCTTATAACTAAGTGTAGGAGTGACAGTGAGTGTCTTGCTGTTGCACAGGCGGTCAACCTCCCAGATCAAGCTATCCTCCCACCTCAGCCTCTTGAGCAGCTGGGGCCACAGGCACACCGCCATCACACGCAGCTATTTTTATTTTTTTTTTTGAGATGGGAGTTTCTCAGACTTGAAATGGGTGAGAAAGGAATTAAAAAAAAAAAAAAAAAAAAAAAGGGAATGGAGTTTCATTCTCGTTGCCCAGGCTGGAGTGCAATGGTATGATCTCAGCTCACTGCAACCTCTGCCTCCCCTGAAGCTTGGATTACAGGCTCCCACCACCATGCCTGGCTAATTTTTGTTTTCAGTAGAGACGTGATTTCGTCATGTTGGCCAGGCTGGTCTCGAACTCCTGACCTCAGGTGATCCACCAGCCTCAGCCTCCCATATAATTTTTGTACTTTTTTTGTTCAGTCAGGGTTTTGCCATGTTGCCTAGGCTGCTCTTGTACTCGTGGCCTCAAGTGATCCGCCGGTCTCAGCCTTCCAAAATGCTCGGATTACAGGGTCGAGCCACCATGCCCAATCAATTGTAGAATATTAACAGCATCTATCCTCTGTATAGGGTGTTGCTACCACAAATTTCATTTGGAAGAAAACCGAACTTCAGGTGGGGCGAGGTTAGGCCGAGCAGGCATAAACCCATGCTAGCTCTGCTATTGTCACTCTCCTTGCCTAGGTAAACTGCTCAGGCACCCAGCCTCAGCTTCCTCTAGAGGAGAAATCCTGGCCAGGCGCAGTGGCTCACACCTGTAATCCCAGCACTTTGGGAGGCCTAGGCGGGCGGATCACTTGAGGCCAATACGGTGAAATCTCATCTACTAAAAACACAAAAATCAGCTGAGCATCACGGCGGCCAGCTGTAGTCCCAGCTACTTGGGAGGGTGAGGCAGGAGAGTCACCTGAACCTGAGCAGAGGTTGCAATGAGCCAAGACCCCGCCATTGCACTCCAGCCTGGGAGTCAAGGCGACTCCATCTCAGAAAAAAGGAAGAAAACCCCAGAGTAGATATCTTCATTGTTATAATGCAAAATCACGAGGCATATATTTGTTGTTACACGTCCTTTGTAAGTGTTGGAACGCAATACAGATATACACAATCTAAATCCAGACTTCCCGAAGTCTTGACCTTGGCCCAAACTCACCAATTCCAAGTTTGATTCCCTCCCCTGTCAAATAAGGTTAACAGTATCTGCCTCAGGAATATCGTTAACTAGACGAAACAATGCAAACTGTTAGACACAAAGACACACGTTCGGTGAACACCACCACTTGCTTAGATCAGCCTGGCTCAGAAATTCCGCCCCCAACAACCAGACTATTCACAAGGAAACCTTTCCAGGGCCAACCTCCACTTTATAGTTAATTACACAAGGAACAGGAAAAAGGCCCCCCGGGCGTTTGCAGAAAAAGATGTTCCATCCTTGTGGAACCATTTGTCACAGCTCTCCACTTTCAGAAGCCAGCAGGCCTCAGGACAATCGCCAACCCCCTCAAACGAAGGAAAACGATTCATTCCTGAGTGCCCGGCAGGCAACAGCTCTCTCGACCCCCCGCAGAAAAGTATTGAGAATCAAAACCACCGAGCTGCAGGGGACCCCGATTAACACCTCCACGTGAGATTAAAGCAGCCCGCGCACTGGGAAGGATGGAAATACCTTCCATTTTGGGCAATCCTCAGTTTCTCACGGCCCCGAAACGGCCCGGCCAGACTTTCGCGTGTTCCCCATCGCCGAGGACACACAAGGGTCCAATTCAGCCAAGACTCGACCCCGGTGCCCCCACCCATTACCCAAGCTCAAGGTAAGCGAGGTCTAGTTGTAAAGTAATCCGTCCTGTACTGGGAGCTCCATCACCCTCGCCACGAGAAAGAAATGCCGCATTGTAGCCAACCCTAGGCCTAAAGAGAGCCCCGTCCTTTTCTACATTTTCCCCTTACCCTAAAACACTTCTATTTTGCTTAACTGTAGGTGTTAAACTCTGCAACACAGGTAGCAGAACCGAGAGGGTACGACCCCGTTCCGGCCTGAATCCCACCCGGCCCCATGCCACCCCATGCCGCCCCGACACATGCGGAGCCCGCACCTGCACCTCCGCCATCTTCGGGAGCCGCCCGGGAAAGGAGGAGGTCTTGTCACAGGGTTTCTTATCCCTTAAAACAGGGGCGGCAGAAGTGACGTGAGCGCGCAAACAACTTTCTGTGTTGTCATTGGTCAAAGGGTTGTGCGCGCGCGCAGAGATGCCCCACGGAAGGCGGGTTATCTTTTAATTGTCCAATCCGGACACACTTCCGGTCAGACCTCCGCGACCAGAGCTGGGCCCTGCAATAGATCACGTGGGGTGTGGAAGCGGTGCTGCTGGGGTGTGGCCGTCGCGTCTCTGCGGCCGTGTGTTTGAGGGGCTGTAAATCTCGTTCACACGCTCTGTCTGCCTTGTTTCTAAGTGGAAGCGCCACTACTCCTTCAAGCGACTGAAGGCTGCAGGGCCTCTGGTGGCCCTCAGGGGGAGACCAGACCCGCCAGGCCCGCCCTTCCACGCTCAGTCCAGGCTTACTTTATTTTCTAAGACAGGGTCTCGGTCTGTCACCCAGGTCAGAGTGCAGTGGGGCGATCATGGCCCACCGCAGCCTCGACTTCCGAGTCTCAAGGGATCCTTCTGCCTCTTCCTCTCCAGTAACTGGGACTACGGGGGCGTGCCATCACGCCTGGCTATATATATGTATATATTGTTTGTTTTGTCAAGGCGGGGACGGGGGCGGTGGGGAGTCTTGCCATGTTGGCCAGGCTGGTCTCAAACTCCTGGGCTCAAGCGATCTTCCCATCTGGGCCTCTCAAAGTGCTGGGATTACCGGCGTGAACCCCGGTGCCCTGCCCGTTCTAGGTTTAGAGATTTGGATTCCGGTGTCTGGTCGACTTCACTCTGACCTGGACAAATCCCTGGCTTTATCTGGGCCTCAGTTTCTCCATCTGTAAAACAGGTGGAAGTGGTCTTCCCCAGGGGATCTAGGAGTGGATGAAGGAATGACTTCTAGATACCTGGCTGCACCAATCCGCTGAGCGTTCCTCTGAGAAACTTCTCACTTTCTGGACTGTTGGCCTTTGCTTCAGATGGGTCCCTTGCCCAGGATGCCCTCCCCAACCCCTCCAAATCTGGCTTGTCACCATCGCAGTGCCCTTTGGCTCTGGAAAGCCTCTCTGATCTCCCAGCCTGGGTTAGTTGCCACCTACACCCCTGGGCTCCCACACTGCCTCTATGCTATCTCCATAGGAGCCTGTGGCATCCTGCACGCAGGCACGCTGAGTCCCTTGTCTTCTCCTCCATAGCCTAGGAGACCTGGGGCGTCTGGGCTGGTTCTGACTCCGATCCGGGCTCTAGCATTAACCAGTCCCGGCCTGGGCCTCCAGGAGACCTCAGAAAACACCTATCGAATGAAACATTGCATTGCAATGGAAAAACCAAGACTGAAATCAAAACTACCCCATCCACACCCAGACAGACCTGGCCAGAGCTGGTAGAAAAGGATGATTTGTATACATTTCATGGGACAACAGCTTTGTACAGAGTTGGGTAAATGGGGCCGGTGCTGGGTTCTGGTGTTGCCTCCATCCTGGGGAGGAAGCGAGAGGGGCATCGGGCCCAAGGAAGGGACCATCCTCTAGCCAACTTCCTCTGTGTCCGAGCTGTGCAGTCTCTGGCTGGTGACTCCCCTCTGTGTACCTCAGTGTCTTCCCCTGTAAAATGGGATGATAGATGCATCTGTCTCACCGGATTATTTAAGGATCCACAGGCCGGGTGCAGGGGTTCATGCCTGTAATCCCAGCACTTTGGGAGGCTTAGGTGGGCAGCTGAGGATGTCAGGAGTTCAGGACCAGCCTGGCCAGCATGGTGAAACCCCATCTTTACTAAAAATACCAAAAATTAGCTAGGCTTAGTGGTGCGCACCTGTAGTCCCAGCTACTTGAGAGGCCGAGGCAGAAGAATTGCTTGAACCCAGCAGATGAAAGTTCCAGTGAGCAGAAATCGTGCCATTGCACTCCAGCCTGGGCAACAGAGCGAGACTCAGTCTCAAAAAAAAAAAAAACAAAAGCGATCCCCTGGCAGAGAGGGAAAGTACTTAGCTCGGGGTGGGGCTAAGTACTCATACTCAAAACAATTCCAGGCACAAGCAAGCGCTGACTGTGTGCCAGGGCATGGTTGTTCAAGAGAACCTGGCCATGATAGAAATGTTCTCTATTTTTGCTCTTTAATATGGGAGTAACCAGCTACATGTGAATAGTGAACACTTGAGATCGGGCCAGTTCACTACTCGGGAGGCTGAGGCAGGAGGATCACTTGAGTCCAGGAGTTCGAGGCTGGACTCGAAGTTTTTTTGAGACAGCCTTGCTCTGTCGCCCAGGCTGGAGTGCAGTGGCGTGATCGTGGCTCCCTGCCGCCACTGCCTCCTGGGTTCAAGTGATTCTTCCTGCCTCAGCCTCCTGAGTAGCTGGGGATTACAGGTGTGTGCCACCAAGCCTGGCTAACTTTTATATTTTTAGTAGAGAGAGGGTTTCACCATGTTACCCAAGCTGGTCTTGAAGTCCTAGACTCAAGAGATCTGCCTAGGAGTTACAGGTGTGAGCCACCGTGCTGGGTGAAATACAATAAAATTAATATCAATTACTGGCCACGCGTGCTGGCTCATGCCTGTAATCCCAGCACTTTGGGAGGTTGCAGCGGGCAGATAATGAGGTCTGGAGTTCCAGACCAGCCGGGCCAACATGGTGAAACCCTGTCTCTACTGAAAATGCAAAAATTAGCTGGGAATTGTGGTGCCTGCCTGTAGTCCCAGCTGCTCAGGAGGCTGAAGCAGAAGAATTGCTTGAACCTGGGAGGTGGAGGTTGCAGTGAGCAGAGATCGTGCCATTGCACTCTAGCCTGAGCAATAAAGTGAGACTCTGTCTTAAAAAAAAAACAAAAACCCAGTCTCTACTAAAAATGTCAAAAATTAGCTGGGCGTGGTGGCGGGTACCTGTAATCCCAGCTACTCCAGAGGCTGAGGCAGGAGAATTGCTGAGGTTGCTGTGAGCCAAGATAGTGCCACTGCACTCCAGCCTGGTGACAGAGCAAGACTCCATCTCAAAAAAAAGAAAAAGAAAAAAGGCATACATTGAATGCTGAAGGCTTAGGATGACAAAACAAGGTAAAATATTCCAAATGATTCATGTCTCGTTAATCATTGAAAAATATCGATTGCATGTGGAAGTGACGTTTTGGATATACTATGTAAAATAACGACGTTACCTGCTTTTTTCCTTTTTTTTTCTTTTTGAGACAGAATCTAGCCCTGTCACTAGGCACCAGGCTGGAGTGCAGTGGCGCGATCTGGGCTCACTGCAACCTCCGCCTTCCGGGTTCAAGTGATCCTCCTGCCTCAGCCTCCCGAGTAGCTGGGACTACAGGCGCGTGCCACCACGCCCAGCTAATTTTTTATATTTTAGCAGAGATGGGGTTTCACTATGTTGGCCACCACGCCCGGCCTCCTTTTTTAAAAAATGTGTCTATTAGGAAAATGCAAACCGCACGCATGTCTTCCACACTGCTTCCACAGCGTTGCTGTGAGAGCTTTGCCCCTGTCACTTCACTTAACCTCCTGACAGCCCTCTGGCGGAAGGACTGTCATTAGAGCCATTTGTACAGATCAGGAAACTGAGGCAGCAGAGTGAAGGGCCCAGATGCCGGATCAAGACAGCCTCGAGGCTGGGTACGGTGGCTCACGCCTAAAATCTCAGCACTTTGGGAGGCCGAGGTGGACGGATCATCTGAGGTCAGGAGTTCTAGACCAGCCTGGCCAACGTGGCGAAACCCCACCTCTACTACAAATACAAAAATTAGCCGGGTGTGTTGGTGGGCACCGATAATCCCAGCTACTCCAGAGGCTCAGGCAGGAGAATTGCTTGAATCTGGGAAGTGGAGGTTACAGTGAGCGGAGACTGCGTCACTGCACACCAGCCTGGGTGACAGAGCGGTATTCCGTCTCAAAATAAAGAAAGACAATCTGGAGTCAAATCTTGGTTGTCACCCTTGAGCCGTGTGACTTTTGGCAAATTATTTGCCTCTCTGTGCCTTGGTTTCAGTGAAACAGGATCATAATGGCAACAGCTTCTCCAGGAAGTGAGTTCATTTGTAGAAAGCCCAGCACGGGGCCTGCATTACCAGGGCACTCTATGTTCGAGCTATCGCTACGGAAGGTTAGATCTGAAATGTTCCCAGCCTCTCTTCTTGCTCTCACACCTCCCTTGGCTCCTTGCTGCCCCGTGCTGGCCCAAGTTACTGGAACACCCTGAGCTTTCTCATACCAGAGGGCTTCGCAAAGGCAGTTCCCTCTTTCTGGAATGCCATTCCCTTCCTGCCCCAGGAGGCTGCTCTGTCCTGGCTTGCAAACTCCTTCAGGTCCCCAGTGAGCCCAATGTCTTTCCCTAATCTCACTCCTCCCCCAGGTCCCTGCCCCCGTCCACCCATCACTGGGCCAAACCCAGGCTGTCTGTGCCAACTCAAGCCTGTCAGGCCCCAGCCCTGTCCTTCCTGATCTCTGACCCCTGACTCTTTGCCCCACGCACTCCACTCCATCCCCTGGTCCCAGCCTGGCTCAGGCATGGTCCTCGCCCTGGGCCCTCCCATAGCCTCCAGCTTGGTCTCCAGTCCCTCTCCATGATGGCCCAGAAGGGTCTTTCTTTCTTTCTTTTTTTTTTTTTTTTTTTTTGAGATGGAGTCTCACGCTGTCTCCCAGGCTGGAGTACAGTGGCTCAATCTTGGCTCACTGCAATCCCCGCCTCCTGGGTTCAAGCAATTCTCCTGCCTCAGCCTCCTGAGTAGCAGGGACTATAGATGTGCACCACCACACCCAGCTAATTTTTGTATTTTTGACAGAAACAGCGTTTTGCCAAGTTAGCCAGGATGGTTTCAATCTCTTGACCTCATGATCTGCCCACCTTGGCCTCCCAAAGTGCTGGGACTACAGGGGTGAGCCACCGTGCCTGGCTGGGTCTTTCTTTCTTTCTTTTTTTGAGATGGAATCTTGCCCTGTCACCCAGGCTGGGATGTAAGGGTGCGGTCTTGGCTCACTGCAACCTCTACCTCCCGGGTTCAAGCAATTCTCCTGCCTCTGCCTCCCGACTAGCCAGGACTACAGGCGTGTGTCATCACACCCGGCTTCTATTTTTAGTAGAGACTGGGTTTTGCCATGCTGGTCAGGGTGGTCTTGAACTCCTGACCTCAAGTGATCTGCCCACCTCAGCCTCCCAAAGTGCTGGGATTAGAGGCGTGAGCCACCACGCCCAACTCCAGATCTTTCTGCACCCAGAGCTGCCCCTGCCCTTCCACTGCTCACCACCCTCCATGCCTCCAGTGCCCCTCCCCACCTGCAGACACAAAGTGCTGGCTCCACAGCCCGTGAAGGACTCACCAAGATGAGGCCCCGGCTGGGTCAATGCTCCACAAGCAGCAGGTTCTGGGGACTGGGGATGGGGGGCACCTGTGGACCCCAAAGTGTCAGCCACAGGTGGGCCATCCTCTTGGTCCCCCCTGCCCCCTCTGCCCACCCTGCTCACCTGCTCCCCAGCACAGGACATCCTCTGCTGTGTCCTCTGCCAGTGCAGGCACCAGGCAGCGGCCAGCAGCAGGAGGCCCATGGGCAGCAGCAGCAGGAAGAGCAGGGGGGACGGTGGGGCTGTTGGCGCTGTGGCCTCCAGGGCCCCAGAATTCTGTGGGGGTGGCAGGGTCGAGGAGTCTAGGGAGAAAGAGGAGGCTAGGTGACCAAGGAGAAGGGCTGGGGTAAGGAGGGAAAGAGAGGCCTGGCTGGTGCTGGCTGTGTGACCTCGGATGGGCTGCTTGGCCTCTCTGTGCCTCAGTTTGCTTATCTGTAAAAGTAGGATAATCATTGTATCTACCTTGTCAGGTTGTCACAAATTAAATGAGTGAACAGGTGGGGTGCGGTGGCTCATGCCTATAATCCTAGCACTTTGGGAGGCCAAGGTGGGCGGATCACTTGGGGTCAGGAATTCGAGACCAGCCTGGCCAACATGGCGAAACCCCATCTCTACTAAAAGTACAAAATTAGCCAGGCACGGTGGCACAGGCCTATAATCCCAGCTACTTGGGAGGCTGAGACAGGAGAATCGCTTGAACCCAGGAGGCAGAGGTTGCAGTGAGCCGAGATTGCGCCACTGCACTCCAGCCTGGGTGACAGAGCAAGACTCCATCTCAGAAAAAAAAAAAAAAAGGTAAACTGAGGTCCAGAAAGAGGAATAAGCTTGCCCTTGTCATCACCAATGTGAGCAGGGTGGGGTCTGGGACACCGCAGTGAAGGAGCGGCCATGAGGACAGGAGGGAAGTGGGGGTGCCTGGGAGCCTTACCGGGCTGACACTGCAGCTCCAGGCACCGGGAGAAATTCCGGCGAGTGATCCAGGGCTTCAGAGAGACCAGCTGCTCGGAGGTCTCCTGCAGGAAGCGGGAGATGTTGGTCTGGACGAAGCGAAGACAGCTGCGGGGGGGCTGGGGGGCAGGGGAAGGAGACATCATCACCACATCATCCCCCCACCGCCCCTCCACAGGCCAAAGGCTCTTCCTGCTGGTGATGCCCAGCAGCAGGGCCCAGTGAGCTCTGGCTCTCACAGAGAGTTTATTATTATTATTAATTATTTGAGACAGAGCCTCGCTGTCTCAAGGCTGGAGTGCAGTGGCACAATCTCGGCTCACTGCAACCTCTGCCTCCTGAGTTCAAGCAATTCTCCTGCCTCAGCCTCCTGAGTGGCTGGGACTACAGGCGCCTGCCACATTGCCTGGCTAACTTTTTTTTTCTTTGTATTTTTAATAGAGACGGGGTTTCACCGTATTGGCCAGGCTGGTCTCAAACTCCTGACCTTGTGATCCACCCATCTCAGTCTCCCAAAGTGCTGGGATTACTATTATTATTATTTTTTTTGAGATGGAGTTTCACTCTTGTTGTCCAGACTGCAGTGCAATGGTGCGGATCTCGGCTCACAACCACCTCCCGGGTTCAAGTGATTCTCCTGCCTCAGCTTCCTGAGTAGCCGAGGATTACAGGCACGCACCACCACGCCTGGCTACGTTTTGGTATTTTTAGTAGAGACTGAAATATGGGGTTTTCCCATGTTGGTTAGGCTGGTCTCGAACTCCCGATCTCAGGTGATCCACCCACCTCTGCTTCCCAAAGTGTTGGGATTACAGGTGTGAGCCACAGCGCCGGGCCTCCTCAGAGTTTAGAGAGCCCTTCTCCCCTGTTTTCTTTTGGGGGGGAAGAACCCCTCAGTGGCACCCTTCATCATGGCCGAGGAAACCTGGGCCTCAGAATGGGAGCAGAGCCCTCCCGTGGCTGGTTTCCAGGGACATGTTTTTCTGCAGGAACCGGGCTCCGCAGGGGATTGGGTTCTGGCTCCACCTTCCTTGGGTGGCTTTACTTCCAATGCCTAGGAAGGCATCTCTCTCCCCTTCACTTGTCCTCTAAGTTCGGGGCTGACCTGAAAGGCACATTTGGTGACAAAGTGTATCTCCGTGTTCACGCGCTCCAGCAAGCCTCGCATCTTGGACCCAGCCACAGTCTTGAGCCGCTCCATCCAGCGCTGTGCCAGGACCAGCCGCCAGAGGGCGCCGCAGAGCTCCTCCTAGGGGGAGAACCCACGGGTCCGAGGGAGGAGGGGCTGGGCCGGGGCTGCTGGGTCCGAGGGAAGAGGGGCAGGGGACTCGGATTCCTGGCTTTGCAGAGGGGAGGACCAGGTTATGCACTCGCCTGGGTGGGGCATCTTGAGTCTGTGGTCCCCACCTCCACCCTAGGTCCCTCCCAACGTGACTCACGTCCTGCAGATTGGAGGCCACTGTGACCGGATAATCTTGAAGCAAGTAGTCAGACTATGGGAGGAAACAGGGTCAGGCCTGGCTGAAGGGAGCGGGAAACAGAACGGCGGGGACCCAGAGGTGGCAACAGAGATCCAGAGAGACAGGGGGGCAAGACTCAGAGAGGGGAACCCAGAAGAAGCCACAGAACCTTGGCCTCAAAAAGGGGCGACAGCTCCCAGCACAGTGGCTCACGCCTGTAATATCCAGCACTTTGGGAGGCCGAGGTGGGAGGATCGCTTGAGCTCAGATGGAGACCACCCTGGGCAACACAGGGAGAGAGACTCTGTCTCTACTTAAAAAAAAAAAAAAAAAAAAAAAAAACGGAGGGGGATCCCATGAGGGGTCGGGGCAGCGCCACTCACCAGCTCACGGATTTTGGCAGCGAAGTCGGAGGAGATGGGGCTGAACTGGAAGGAGCAGTCCTGGGTCCCACTGAGTTCCGAGCTCAGCAGCAGCAGCAGCAGGAGACGAGTCTGCAGGGGAGGGGGCGCTGGGGGAGCCCTCCGCTGTCCCACACACAGCCCCCTCCTCCGGGCTTCCCACCTGCGCTGTTCTGTCTTCCGCGGTCTTCCTTCCCCCACGCCGTGTCCTTAAACCGCTTCTGTACTTTCGGGAGACCTGGCCCGTCTCTGCCTCTCCTCCTCCCGTTTCCCTCTGCCTCTGTCCAACGCCGTCCAGTTTGATCCTCCTCTGCCCCACCCCTCTCTCCCCATCTCCCCACGATGGCGTCCTTCTCGGACAGCTTCGTTCTCACGACTGCCCTCCTCCCCCGGGTTCCTCCAGCGCTGTCCCTCCCTCCGCCTTCTACACCCCTGTCGCGTGCCTCTCTTTATCTTGATTCACGTCCTATTTAGTCGTTCCCGGCTCTCTCCACCATCATGCTCCTCTGTCCATCCCCTCCTCCTGTCCATCTTCCGCTTCGCTGTCAATCTCCCCCTCCGCTGTCAATCTCCCCCTCCTCTCCATCTCCTCTTCCTCTGTCCAGCTCCCCCTCCTCTATCCATCTCCTTCTCCTCTGTCCAGCTCCCCCTCCTCTATCCATCTCCCTCTCCTCTGTCCAGCTCCCCCTCCTCTATCCATCTCCCTCTCCTCTGTCCAGCTCCCCCTCCTCTGTCCATTTCCCCTCCTGTCCATCTTCCTCTCCTCTGTCCATCTCCCCCTCCTCTGTCCATCTCCCCCTCCTCCATCCAGCTCCCCCTCCTCTATCCATCTCCTTCTCCTCTGTCCAGCTCCCCCTCCTCTATCCATCTCCCTCTCCTCTGTCCAGCTCCCCCTCCTCTGTCCATTTCCCCTCCTGTCCATCTCCCTCTCCTCTGTCCATCTCCCCCTCCTCTGTCCATCTCCCCCTCCTCTGTCCATCTCCCCCTCCTCTGTCCATCTCCCCCTCCTCTGTCCATCTCCCCCTCCTCCATCCAGCTCCCCCTCCTCCGTCCAGCTCCCCCTCCTCCGTCCAGCTCCCCCTCCTCTGTCCAGCTCCCCCTCCCCTCCATCTCCCCCTCCTCTCCATCTCCCCCTCCTGTCCAGCCCCCCCTCCTCTATCCATCTACCCCTCCTCTGTCCATCTCCCCTCCTGTCCGTCTCCCCACACCTCTGCCTCATCCTGACCTTGCACCTCCCGTCTCTCCCCCGACCGTTTCTGGGTTTTACGCACTGTTGGACTCCAGGCTGGCACCAGCACTGTCATCTCGGCCGGGGGACCCTCATGCCTTCTGCGGCTGGGTCTTGGAAGGGACAGAAGAACAAGTCTTGGACACCCATGCCCCAACCCCTGCCCTGCCCGCCCCTGCGCCTCCCCTCCTCTGGTGTGTGACTTTGATGTGGCCGAGTTTCCCCCGCTTCCTCCCCCAGGCTTCCTGCGTCTGCACCAGTTACGGTGAAAACTCTTCATCTCCACTTCCAAGAACCCCAACGTCTGGTCCCCAGAACCCTCCCCAGGTTAGGGACCCAGGAACCCAGCCCCTCATCCTCTGCTCCCTCTGCCCCAGGAGTAGGGACCTTGGCTCCACCCCTTGGGGAACCCAGAGTCCAAGCCTCCCCACGCACAGGCTTGCCCCAGCTGGGTGGAAGGGGCCAAGCCGGGTGACAGCCAGAGACCGAAAGTGAAAGGAAATTTTTGAGGGGAGACAGGGAAGTAGTGGAATCTGGGTCCAGGCAGAGCGCGCCCCCTGGTGGTGGCAAGCGGCCGCTCACGCCACAGAAGGAGCGTTCCCGGACGCCCTGTGGCGGGGACTATGGTGGGGCTGACTCCCTGGGTGTCACGTGCGCTCAGTGTGTGGTGAGCTGGGGCTGGAACGCGGATCTGTCTGTCTCCGAGAATTAGGAGTTGCTGTGTCTGATCATCCTTTGGGCCCCAACTTTGCACTGCCAAGGCTTGGCACACAGGACTCAGGATGCATCTTGTCACATTGGGCCTGGCAGGTGTCACCCTGGCCCGGGATTTACCACTGTGGGAGTGTGGCCTTTCTAAGCCTCGCTTTCTTCAACTCCAAACGGCGGCAGGGGGGTGAGGTGGTAAATGAGACAAAATAGGAGTTCTCTTCCACATTTGTGGATCTCTGAATCTCTGATTTTTTTTTTTTTTTGAGATGGGGTCTCACTCTGTCGCCCAGGCTGGAGTGCAGTGGTGTGATCTCGGCCTACTGCAGCCTCCGCCTTCCAGGCCCCAGTGATTCTCATGTCTCAGCCTCCCGACTAGCTGGGATTACAGGCCCCCCACCACTATGCCCAGTTTATTTTTGTATTTTTAGTAGAGATGGGATTTACCATGTTGGCCAGGCTGATCTCAAACTCCTGACCTCAGGTGATCCGCCCACTTTGGCCTCCCAAAGTGCTGGGATTACAGGTGTGATCCACCAGGCCCGGCCTGAATCTGTTGCTCACCTGTCTGATTTGTGGCAGACTATCCCAAAACATCTGCTTGAACCTCCCCTGCAGGAGAATTCCAGGCCCCATCCTGGGGAACTCAGACAGAGCCACATTCGGTTTGACCAATGCCATCAGGGTAGAAGTGACACGTGTCACTTCTGGATGGAAGTCTAAGGGACTGGGGACTGGATGGTGGAGGATGCATGGAGAGGGCGCCTCTATCAGCCAAGTTCCCTGTGCCACCCAGAGGAGCTGCCACCCTGCCAGCCCCAGCCCCAGCCCCAGCAACACACTAACGTCGTGGTTGTGGCCCACGGAGATTCAGGGGTTGGGCGTTACCGCAGCAAAGCCTGGCCCGTCCTGGCCTTTGCCATCCATTTCCCTCCCCTCCTCCCTCTGCCTGCTTCACTTCCTGTTCACCCTGGGTCAGCTGTCTTGTCCTACCGAATGGTCAGACCTTCCATTTTTCTTTTTGAGATGGGTTTTGCTCTGTTGCCCAGGCTGGAGTGCAGTGGCACAATCACGGTTCACTACAGCATCAAACTCTTGGGCTCCAGCGATCCTCCCACCTCAGCCTCCGAGTAGCTGGGACCACAGGTGTGCACCATGACACCTGGCTTGCTATTTGTTTATTTATTTAGAGACGGGGTTTTGCCATGTTGCCCAGGCTGCTCTCAAACTTCTGAGCTCAAGCAATCCACGTGCCTTAGCCTCCCAAAGTGCTGGGATTACAGGCGTGAGCCACTGCGCCCAGTCTGGCCTAATTTTTATATATTTTGTTGAGACAGGGCCTCACTCTGTTGCCCAGGTTGGAGTGTCATGGCATGATCTCGGCTCATTGCAACCTCTGCCTCCTAGGTTCAAGCAATTCTCCCATGTCGGCCTCCGAGTAGCTGGGATTCTGGGATTACAGGTGCGTGCCACCGTGCCTGGCTAATTTTTTCTTTTTATGAGATGGAGTCTTGCTTTGTTGCCCAGGCTGGAGTGCAGTGGTACAATCTTGGCTCACTGCAACCTCCGCCTTCCGGGTTCAAGGCGATTATTCTGCCTCAGCCTCCTGAGTAGCTGGGATTACAGGTGCATGCCACCACGCCCAGCTAAATTTTGTATTTTTAGTAGGGATAGGGTTTCACCTTTTTGGTCAGGGTGGTCTCAAACTCCTGACCTTGTGACCCACCTGCTTCAGTTTCCCAAAGTGCTTGGATTACAGGCACCCGGCCTAATTTTTGTATTTTTAGTAGAGATGGGGTTTCATCATCTTCGCCAGGCTGGTCTCGAACTCCTGACCTCAGGTGATCCTCCCACCTTGGCCTCCCAAAGTGCTGAGATTACAGGCATGAGCCACCGCAGCCGGGCACTCCTCGATAATTTTTAAATTTTTTTGTGGCCAGGCACCATGGCTCACGCCTGTAATCCCAATAATTTGGGAGGCTGTGGCAAGCGGACTGCTCGAGCTCAGGAGTTCAAGACAAGCCTGGCCAACAAGGTAAAACCCAGTCTCTACCAAAAATACAACATCAACTAAACACTTAGCCGCCATGGTGGTAGCATATGTGGTCTCAGCTGCTTAGGATGCTGAGGAGGGAGGATCCCTTAAGCCCAGGGCACGGAAGTTGCAATGAGCCGATATTGTGTCACTGCACTCCAGCCTGGGTGACAGGGACCCTATCTCAAAAAAAAAAAAAAAAAATGCACGTAAATTTTTTTGCGGTGACATCTCATCATGTTACCTAGGCTGGTTTTGAACTCCTGGGCTCAAGCGATCCTCCTGCCTTGGCCTCCCAAGTGCTGGGATTACAGGTGTGAGCCACTATACCCCATGCTTTTTTGGATTTCTCATTTTTCTGTCTCCTCTTGAGGTTGACAAAATAATGTCCCCCTCCCAAATATCCACATCCTAATCCTCTGAACTTGTGAATGTGTGACCACACATGGCAAAAGAGACTCTGATTAAGCTAAAGATCTTGAGACAGGCCGGGCACGGTAGCTCACGCCTATAATCCCAGCACTTTGGGAGGCCGAGGCGGGTTGATCACGAGGTCAAGAGATCGAGACCATCCTGGTCAACATGGTGAAACCTCGTCTCTACTAAAAATACAAAAATTAGCTGGGCATGGTGGCGCATGCCTGAAGTCCCAGCGACTCGGGAGGCTGAGGCAGGAGAATTGCTTGAACCCAGGAGGTGGGGGTTGTGGTGAGCCGAGATCACGCCATTGCACTCCAGTCTGGGTAACAAGAGCGAAACTCCGTCTCAAAAAAAAAAAAAAAAAAAAATCTTGAGATAGGGGAGGGGACCCTGGGTTATTCATGTGAGCCCAATGTCATCACAATGACATTACAATGTCTTTGTAAAGAAGAGAGTGGCCAGGTGCAGTGGCTCACACCTGTAATCCTAGCACCATGGGAGGCTGAGGCGGGTGGATCACTTGAGGTCAGGAGTTCGAGACCAGCCTGGCCAACATGGTGAAACCCCGTCTCTACCAAAACTATAAAAATTAGCCACGAGAGGTGGGAAGGTGCCTGTAATCCCAGCTACTAAGGAGGCCAAGGCAGAAGAATTGCTTGAACCCGAAGGCAGAGGTTGCAGTGAGCCAGTCGTGCCACTGCACTCCAGCCTGGGCTACAGAACAAGACTCCATCTTGCGTCCAGGAGGGGGAAAGTCAGAGTGGGCTGGGCATGGTGGCTCCCGCCTGTAATCCCAGCACTTTGGGAGGCCGAGGTGGGCAGATCACGAGGTCAGGAGTTCAAGACCAGGAGTTTGAGACCAGCCTGACCAACAGTGAAACCCTGTCTCTACTAAAAACACAAAAAGTTAGCGGGGCATGGTGCCACACACCTGTAATCCCAGCTACTCAGGAGGCTGAGGCAGGAGAATCGCTTGAACCCGGGAGGCAAAGGTTTCTGTGACATGAGATGGCACCACTGCACTCCAGCCTGGGCGACAGGAAGACTCCATCTCAAAAAAAAAAAAAAGAGTGAAGCCATGATCCAAGGAATGCTGGCAACCTCTAGAAGCTGGAAAAGGCAAGAAATGATTCTCCCCCAAAGCCTCCAGAAGGGACCAATTCTGCCAGCGTTGGCTTTTGTTCGGAGAAATCCATTTCAGACTTCTGACCTCCAGATCTCTGAGATAATGAATACCATCTTGTTGTGTTATTTCAATGGCTAAGGTTTTGGTAATTTGTTACAGCGGTGACAGGAAATGAACACACACTCCAGTCCCTGGGGCACCAGCTCCAGGAGGCCAGGTCCTGTCTTGTCATAGCTGCATTTCTGGTACCCAGAACAGTGCCTGACTCACGGTGGGTGGGTGCTGTGTTTGCTGACTGACTGCAGAGTTGACTAGATTATGAGATCCCACCCCTCGGCCCGAGAGGATTGGACCAGAAGTGGCTGCCTGACCCAGGTTGGCCAATCAGACTCCCTCTTTGGGGGGGAGGGACTGGGCTGGTGGCATATATAAACCTGCCACAGTTGGCTCTGGCTGGTGAAAGTACCAGGCAGATTAACGGGAGGACCCTGAAGCTGCCCGGGAATCCAAGAGGGCGGTGTCAAACCGAGCTCACCCAAGCATAACAGAACCAGAGCTTTTCGGTGATTTCCTGGCAACTCCTGCTCCCATATCTCCTGTGTGTCCAAATGTCTAGATCCTAGAGGAGATCATCTACTCCGCCAAGCCTTAGTCAAATTCTGACACGAGGCCGGGAGCGGTGGCTCCTGCCTGTAATCCCAGCATGTTGGGAGCCCAGAGTGGGAGGACTGTTTGAGCCCAGGAGTCCGAGACTGGCCTGGATAACATAGTGAGACCTTGTCTCTACAAAATATAACAATCAGCTGGGTGTGGCAGTTCACGAGTGTAATCTCAGCACTTTGGGAGGCCGGGGCGGGTGGATCAACTGAGGTCAGAGGTTCAAGATCAGCATGACCGTTAGGTGAAGTGAACTCCATGTTTCTCTTCAAAGAATCAGTATGTATGTTCAGCTCTCTTATCCTTTAATTCTCCATTTTAAAGTTTAACTTCCTTGTAGTTTCGTAAACAACCTTCTCCACCAGTTCTAAGCAGTAGTTCACATCTGTTCCCCGGGTCCCCTGCTCTGTCCTGACTCATCCCAGTCACCTGCTTTCGCCCCTGGTTACCTGCTCTGACCTGTCCTGTAACCGTCCGTCCTGCCAAACTACTCACTCTGCCACTCCAGCTCATACCTCTGTTCTCTCTTTAAAATAGTCAATCACAGGCCGGGCATGGGGTGGCTCACGCCTGTAATGCAAGCACTTTGGAGGCCAAGGCGGGTGGATCACCTGAGGTTGGGAGTTCAAGACCAGCCTGACCAACATGGTGAAACCTCGTCTTTAAAAAAAAATAAAATAGTCAATCACTTCCAAGCACTTCTGCAAAAAAAAAAAAAAAAAGTCAATCGGAATTAGCCCAGACTGTGCTGTCTACCCCTAGCCAACAGGAGAACAACACAGCAGTAGGGGCGACCTCCGTCAGGAGTAAGGACCCTTTCCCTTCCCTCGTCCAGCTGTGCGCTTCCCATTGCTCCATCTGTGAGCCGCACCCTTCTATAGAAGCAAATCGCCTTGCTGAGGAAATTTGTTTGAGTGCTACTTCTTTTGCGGCACTGAAACTTTACATACAGCAATTTGGTGGCCGCTACAGGGACAGCATTCCACTCCGGGGCAGTCTCTGGTCCTCTCTCCTGAGGAGGAACGCTCCCGCTGCCTCATTGCAGTGGCCTCATGAGTGAGAAGTGAGGACTGACCCGGTGCGAGGAATAAGCCCATACTCTCAGAAACGCGGGGCGTGGGGGGAACCAGCCAGAGACCTGAGGTAAAGGATCCTCACATACCACAGTGACCATGCAGATCTGTGCACGGGCCAGGGAGGGGTCTTTTCCGTGATGGGCTTCTTAAACCTTGCTGTTCCCAATCCTTACACTACTACGCTCACCAGTGGTCCACAGATTTAAAAGATGCCTTCTGGGCTTGTCCGTTGGCGAAGGACAGCTGGGACCTATTTGCCTTTGAGTGAGAAGACCCTCAGTCCGGGGAAAACAGCAACACCGATGAACAGTCTTGCCCTAAAGGGTTTGCAGAGTCTCCAAATGTATTTAGCCAAATGTTAGAACAAGTCATCTGATTAGCAAAGGTAAGTGGAAAACTGAGCTTAAACAAATGGAAGGCCCGTCCCCTCGCCTCTGCCGGAAACTAGACAAGAACTCAGAAGGTTTTAGGCTTAGTTGGACACTGTACTCTATGGACAGACTCGTATGCCCTAAAGACAAAGCACTTATGTAAAAAGCGCATGCAAGATGGGCCAAACCCCCTCATTTGGCAATTACCAGAAAACCAACAGGTGGGAAGGTTAAAACATCTATGAGTGACTGCCTCTGTCCTAGCTTTGCCCTCCTTCAGGGACCATTTCTTCTTTTTGTCAGTGTAAACAAGGGCGTAGCTTTAAAAACACTTGCCTAGGCTAGGAGCAGTGGCTCACTTTGGGAGGCCGAGGCGGGCAGATCACAAGATCAGGAGATGGAGACCATCCTGGCCAACATGGTGAAACCCTGTTTCTATTAAAATTAAAAAAAATTAGTCAGGCATGGTGGTGCATGCCTGTAGTCCCAGCTACTTGGGAGGCTGAGGCAGGAGAATCGCTTGAAACTGGAAAATGGAGGCTGCAGTGAGCTGAGATCATGCTACTGCACTCCAGCCTGGCGATAGAGAGCGAGACTCATCTCAAAAAAAAAAAAAAATTGATCGGTAGTGGGAGCGGAGAGAGAACCCCAGAGAACCCTGAGAGCAGCCCCGCCGCCGCCGCAGCCGCCAGCCTAGTGACCATCACATCCCAGGAGGAGCCATAGCTGCCACAGCCGGCCCCAGTCACCATCACTGCAACCATGAGCAGTGAGGCTGAGACCCAGCAGCCGCCCGCCGCCCCCGCCCTCAGCGCCGCCTACACCAAGCCCAGCACCACGGGCAGCGGCGGAGGGAGCGGTGGCCCCGGGGGCCTCACATTGGTGGCTCCTGCCGGCGGGGACAAGAAGGTCATTGCAAGGAAGGTTTTGGGAACAGTAAAATGGTTCAATGTAAGGAACGGATACGATTTCACCAACAGGAAGGACACCAAGGAAGATGTTTGTACACCAGACTGCCATAAAGAATAACCCCAGGAAGTACCTTTGCGGTGTAGGAGGCGGAGACTGTGGGGTTTGACGTTGTTGAAGGAGAAGCGGGTGCAGAGGCAGCAAATGTTACCGGTCCTGGTGGCGGTGGCGGCAAATGTTACAGGTCCTGGTGGCAGAGGTGGCAAATGTTACAGGTCCTGGTGGCGGTGGCGGCAAATGGTACAGGTCCTGGTGGCGGTGGCGGCAAATGTTACAGGTCCTGGTGGCAGAGGTGGCAAATGTTACAGGTCCTGGTGGCGGTGGCGGCAAATGGTACAGGTCCTGGTGGCGGTGGCGGCAAATGTTACAGGTCCTGGTGGCGGTGGCAGCAAATGGTACAGGTCCTGGTGGCGGTGGCAGCAAATGGTACAGGTCCTGGTGGCGGTGGCAGCAAATGGTACAGGTCCTGGTGGCGTTCAGTTCAAGGCGGTCAACATGCAGCAGACATTACCATTATAGAGCTATCCAGGCGTAGGGGTCCTCCACGCAATAACCAGCAAAATTACCAGAATAGTGACAGTGGGGAGAAGAACGAGGGATCAGAGAGTGCTCCCGAAGGCCGGGCCCAACAACGCCGGTAGGCGAAGGTTCCCACCTTACTACATGCGGAGACCCTATGGGCGTCCACCACGATATCCCAACCCTCCAGTGCAGGGAGAAGTGATGGAGGGTGCTGACAACCAGGGTGCAGGAGAACTGGTAGACCAGAGAGGCAGAATATGTATCGGGGATACAGACCACGATTCCGCAGGGTCCCTCTTCGCCAAAGACAGCCTCGAGAGGACGGCAATGAAGAGGATAAAGACAATCAAGGAAGGGCTGGTCGTGGTGGCTCAAGCCTGTAATCCCAGCACTTTGGGAGGCCGAGGCCGGTGGATCACGAGGTCAAGAGATCGAGACCATCCTGGTCAACATGGTGAAACCCCGTCTCTACTAAAAATACAAAAATTAGCTGGGCATGGTGGCGCGTGCCTGTAATCCCAGCTACTCGGGAGGCTGAGGCAGGAGAATTGCCTGAACCCAGGAGGCGGAGGTTGCAGTGAGCCGAGATTGCGCCATTGCACTCCAGCCTGGGTAACAAGAGCGAAACTCTGTCTCAAAAAAAAAAAAAAAAGAAAATCAAGGAGATGAGACCCAAGGTCAGCAGCCACCTCAATGTCGGTACCGCCGCAACTTCAATTACTGACGCAGACACCTGAACCACAAGACGGCAAAGAGACAAAAGCAGCCGATCCGCCAGCTGACAATTCGTGGGCTCCCAAGGCCGAGCAGGGCGGGGCTGAGTAAACACCTCCCGACCGTCTCTACCATAAGGTTTAGTCATCCAACAAGAAGAAATAAGAAATTCCAGCAATAAGAAATGAACAAAAGATTGGAGCTGAAGACCTTAAGTGCTTGCTTTTGCCGGTTGACCTGGTAGATAGAACTGTCTGCATTACCTGTGCAGCATGGGGTTTTTATTATTTTTACCTAAAGATGTCTCTTTTTGGTAATAACAAACACGTTTGTTTTAAAAAAAAAAAAAAAGCCTGGTTTTCCTCAATACGCTTTGAAAGGTTTTTTTTTTTTTTTTTTGAGACGGAGTTTCGTCACCCAGGCTGGAGTGCAATGGTGAGATCTCGGCTCACCGCAACCTCCGCCTCCTGGGTTCAGGCAATTCTCCTGCCTCAGCCTCCTGAGTCGCTGGGACTACAGGCGCGCACCACCATGCCCAGCTAATTTTTTATATTTTTAGTAGAGACGGGGTTTCACCTTGTTGACCAGGATGGTCTTGATCTCTTGACCTTGTGATCCACTCGCCTTGGCCTCCCAAAGTGCTGGGATTACAGGCCTGAGCCACCGCGCCCGGCCTACAACTTGATTTTTTCAAAAAAGTCAACGAACTGTAAGAACCTGTTAATAAAAGTCTTAAAAAAAAACAAAAAAACCACTTGCCCAAAGGCACAGAGGCCACTGACAGCCAGTAGCCTTCCTGTCAAAAATCCTTAACCCAGTGGCCCTCAGATGACCCAGATGCATTCAATCTGTGGCAACAACTGCTTTGCTAATGGACAAAAGTAATAAATACATAAAGTGCCTTAAAGGAAGCTAAGATTACAGACTGTGAGCACACCTCAGCAGGTTAGAACTATCCTAAGTCAAAAAAAAAAAAAAAAAAAAAAATCTAGCTGGGTTTCTCAGAAATTATATACGTGGTTTATCTTGCACCTTCCCTTCCCTCAGAACTAAAGGTCTTTTTTTTTTTTTTTAGAGAAGGAAAGAAAAAAAAATAAGTAAAGGAGAGGAAGAAAGAGGAAGAGAAAGAGGGAGAGTAAATGGAAATATTGCTTTATTTTGAAAAAAATTGGGTATTAATAATGGCCAATCGATGTTTCATTTACACTAATGGGTAGGTGTGATGTGGTATTGACAAGAATGTATATTTTGTGTATTTGAAGTGGAGAGTTCTATGAATATTTATTAAGTTTACTTGTTCCGGATCTGAGTTTGAGTCCTTGATATCCTTATTAATTTTCCGTCTCATTGAATCTAAGTCTCGTATCTGGGTGTTAGAACTAAAGGTCTTTTAGCCCCCAAAGTGCTAAGATTACAGACGTGAGCCACCGCGCCTGGCCTATTTTTTTTTTTTTTTTTATAGAGACAGGATTTCACCATCTTGGTCAGGCTGGTCTCGAACTCCTAACCTCAGGTGATCCACCCGCCTCAGCCTCCCAAAGTGCTGGGATTACAGGCGTGAGACACGGCACCCGGCCCTATCTCTCCAACTTTTGACAACCTTTAGTAAAGGTCTTTTAGCGGAGGTGCCACCCCTGGTTTCCAGCACACCAACATCAGTTTGGGGACCATGTCCTTGTCAAAAGTTGGAGAGATAGGGCCGGGCGCCGTGTCTCACGCCTGTAATCCCAGCACTTTGGGAGGCTGAGGCGGGTGGATCACCTGAGGTTAGGAGTTCGAGACCAGCCTGACCAAGATGGTGAAACCCTGTCTCTATAAAAAAAAAAAAAAAAAAAAAAAAAAATAGGCCAGGCGCGGTGGCTCACGTCTGTAATCTTAGCACTTTGGGGGCCAAGGTGGGTGGATCACCTGAGGTCAGGAGTTCAAGACCAGCCTGGCTATCATGGAGAAACCCCATCTTTAAAAAAAAAAAGAAAATGGAAAATAAAATAAAATAAAATAAAAAGTTGGAGAGAAGTCAAAGCTCGACCTGGCCTGGGAAGAACCTTACGTGGTGTCCCTAACTACCGAAACCGCAGTCGGGACAGCAGAAAAAAGATGGACCCATCACACCGGAGTCAAGAAAGCGCCACCCTCTCCGGAGTCATGGGCCATGGTCCCAGGGCAAAACCCTACCAAATTAAAGCCAAGAAAGATTTAACTCTTTCATCTCTTCTATTTACCCTTTTTTCTTTCCTCACTCTATTGCTGACCATCTAGTTATTAACGTAAGGAAGTCAATTTCGCCCGAAGCTATCACCTTTGCTGCTTGCCTTGTTATACCCTGCGGGGAGATTTGCCATCAAAGACAGCTCTCCACTTCAGAAAAATACCTCTGCCCTTCCTGGCTCTCCTCAGACTGGACGTCGGTGAACTGGGGCCATTTAGTCTGGCGAGAGTTCGGTGAAGCCCCTAGTGTCAGCCGCGAGTCTTGGCCCCTGGATACGGAGCTTTTATGCCTTGCTGGTCTAACCTTCTGTGGACCTCTAAAGAGCAAGGCTGGACCGCCTGTAATCCCAGCACTTTGGGAGGCTGAGGCGGGCGGATCACGAGGTCAAGAGATCGAGACAATCCTGGCCAACATGGTGAAACCCCATCTCTACTAAAAATACAAAACTTAGCCGGGCGTTTGGCATGTGCCTGTAGTCCCAGCTACTTGGGAGGCTGAGGCGGAAGAATCGCTTGAACTCGGAAGGCGGAGGTTGCACTGAGCCGAGACTGTACCACTGTGCTCCAGCCTGGCAACAGGGCAAGACTCTATCTCAAACAAAACAAAACAAAAAACCCATATATTCATTTTACCAAAGGAGTTACCGCTCCTGATGGCCAGCTAAACCAATGTAATCCAGTGCAGACACAGCAATGTAATCCAGTGCAGACACAGCAATGTAATCCAGTGCAGACTGCCATCTGTGCTCCCTAGAGTTCTTCCCCTACATTAAGCCATTTCTATGGTATAGGAGCCGAAGTCTCAGGGGAGGACCGCATAGGATCCTTTGAAATGCGCTTAATTGCTCCCCCACCTCCTGCACCCCCTTATTCCTCTTAAGTTCTTCGCTAACCAAACCTTCTCTCTCTTTTTTTTGGGCGGGGGAGCGGAGTCTTGTTCTGTCACCCAGGCTGGAGTGCAGTGGCAGGATCTTGGCTCACTGCAACCTCTGTCTCCTGGGTTCAAGCCATTCTCCTGCCTCAGCCTCTCCAATAGCTGGGTTTACAGGCGTGCACCACTATGCCCAGCTAATTTTTGTATTTTTTTTTTTTCAGTAGAGACGGAGTTGCACCATGTTGGCCAGGCTGGTCTTGATCTCCTGACCTTGTGATCTGCCCACCTCAGCCTTCCAAAGTACTGGGATTATAGGCGTGAGCCACCACTCCCAGCCCCAAACCTTCTCTTGTTAGCTACCTAATGATAAGAAAACCAAAGTAGCTGTTGCAGCGGTTAAAGATTTACAACAAACTATAGGCCGGGCGCAGTGGCTCATGCCTGTAATCCTAGCATTCTGGGAGGCTGAGGTGGGTGGATCACTTGAGGTCAGGAGTTCAAGACCAGCCTGGCTATCATGGTGAAACCCCATCTCTAAAAAAATCATAAAATAAAACAAACTACAGCAATTGAAACAGGGTGTCAGGATGCAAATGCTTGGCTGGAATGGATTAGATATTCTGTTGGCTCACTTAACAAGAACAATTGTTGCGACAGCCGGGCCAGAGACCCAGACTGTCCCCTTTCCACTTGGGTGGGCCTCTCACCGATGGACTGGGCATGAGCTGTATGGTAGCCCTCTTCCAGAACCCACAGCCTGGGGCGATGAGTCATGCAAAACTCTTGTAATCCCAGCACTTTGGGAGGCTGAGGCGGGTAAATCACGAGATCAGGGGTTAAAGACCAGACTGGCCAACATGGTGAAACTCTGTCTCTACTTAAAAAGATACAAAAATTGGCCAGGTATGGTGGCTCATGCCTGTAATCCAAGCACTTTGGAGACCAAGGCAGGTGGATCACCTGAGGTCGGGAGTTCAAGACCAGCCTGACCAACATGGTGAAACCCGGTCTTTAAAAAATAAATAAATAAATACAACAGCCAACAGGGTGAAACCCCGTCTCTACTAAAAATACAAAAAAGTTAGCCAGGTGTGGTGACAGGCACCATAATCCCAGTTACTCGGGAGGCTGAGACAGGAGAATCTCTTGAACCTGGGAGGTGGATGTTGCAGTGAGTTG